AAAAAAATCTTTAATCATTAAGTAGAATTCAAAAAATAATACTTGTTAAAAAACATTTAGTGAAATAATCCTTTCACATCTTCAGGTTTTTCAATGAACTACCATGGTTCATCTACAAAAAAGACAAAACATAATACTATTAAATAGGTATTGAAAATCCAAAGTTAAACAAACAGTAAAAGGAATTTTTAAACTTATTTTATATTAAGACACGAATTAAAACATAGGTACGTGCCACAAGACCAAGAAACTCACCCGTTAATTAATAAAAATAGCAACACAAGAATTATCTTTAGAACAATGAATGGTCAATGTCGCTGTAATAAAAAAATTAATCCCTTATTGATAAAGAAGAAACACTTAAAAGTCTCTCTTTTGGTAGGCTTATCTTAAGAGTATGGTACTTTAGCATCAGAAAGCCAATAGGGGAATGACTGAAGTTAATTATATGAGATAAGAAAAAGGAAAGAAGGGGATATGGATTAGGAAGAGGTACGTAAATAGATTAAGTAGGTTAGAAGCAGGAATGAAGAATTAATACAAGAGTATATAATAAGAAAAGAGAAAAGAAAAAAAACATGCACAAGAAAAACTGCACAGAAAATACAACAACAACTGATTCTAAGTTGAGCAAAGATAATTCATATTTTTATTTTCATTAAAACCTTATCATACAAAAACAAAAAAAAAATGGCCCTAAATGGGTATTGATGGTATCATTTGCTTTAATATGTAGGGATTCAGAAATAAGACAGGGTTATTTCTTTGGTCCCTTATCCAAGATTTAGGTTTTTGAAAATAAAATTATGAAATGAATGAAGTTGATGACAAGAAATCCAATTGAGATGAGATCAAGTTTCTTTTACAATACTCTGGTGATCTTTCTCTTTTTTGTAGTCAGGGTTGGGCAATATTTAAACACTTGCAATTGAAGTACATATTGTAAATACATTTTGTATTTGAAAAGCTGTTATTTTAGTTTGCTGGGCATGTATTTTAGAGATATTTTAAATACATAAAATAGGTGCATTAAAAAAAGGAAACACTTTAAATACAGATGAAGAAGATAGTTTAGAATGAGGATAGTTTCTTTTTGTTTGATTACGCTAGTGAATGCACCTCATTGAAAAAAAAATTCAAGCTTCTTTCAGCTGTTGAATTTGTATTCTCATCATTTTTAAATGATAAATCTAAATCATTAAAAATGCTGGACAATTATCTGACCATAAAAAGAAGTGTGTATTCCTTATAACACTGGTTTATGTTCGTCCACACCAGTTGAATGACTGTTTTCCTTTGCTGGTATTATACATTCACCATCAAGGGGTTCATTTTCCGATGATCTATTTGAAACAATAGTCATTTTTAAAAGAAAATTTGATTTCTTCATGTTAGATATATTTTTAATATCATTTTATATTTGAAAATGTTTATACATACTGTTATAATACATTACAATAGTTATTGTTCAGAAATTTGTATGACTCAATTTCTAATTTATTGTAATCAACAATTACAATATATTGTTGCAACAAAAAATATACAATGCAAAATTATTATATATGAACAGTATTTTGAGAATTTGAAGTATTTTAAATATGTATGTATTTAGCACATCAAGTTCTAATGTATTTTGGGTATGTATTTAAATACTTATTTATAAAGTATTTTGGCAAAATATTTAAATACTAAATTTAAAGTATTTTGCCCAACTTGTTAGGGGTTTTCACTTGCCCTGACCAATATAGAGAACTGGGAAATCAAAGCATGAAATATAATAAACTGTATTTTCTGTTTCAATGTACGGAACTATCCTTTACATTTTTGATGAGATTCTTTTTTTATTTATCTTGCGAATGGTAAGAACCTCATGTTGAGGAAATGCAAAAGCGAAGAGCTTTTAGTTTTGTAAGAACTTCTGGTTAAATTAAAATGTATGAAGATGCCCATCCTATGCAACCTGTCATCTCTTCCATCCATTCCATTTATTATGGGATTATCGTATACCAATGCTAAAAAATTTTGCATTTCCTTATTATGAGTTTTTTAGCATTTTTAAGAGTATTCTTATCAACTTCATACAACCAGATTCTACTCCAATAGGTGAATCTAGAAGTTCCTTTTCTCTGAAATTGTAATGAGGAGTCTAGAAGAAAACTTTCCTAAATTTAAATGTTTCTATTATACTAGGTATGTAAATGTTATATTTGTCATTATCCACAATTATGTAGTGTTACTGTGCAATCTTGTAATAACAAACTAATTGGCCATCAGTATTGGAAACTTTGTGCTACTGGCCATACACTTAATTTCCTTTCCTATCATCCTTTACATCAAATAAGAGTGATTATTGGCTTTGGAAACAGGGCCATAAAATTGTCCCATAAATCATGCCACTCTAACAATCTTAAAATTGTCACCAGTTATTGTTGGAAAATAATTATCCTTAAAAATTTATTGACAAATTATTAGAAGACTATCATAAAGAATAGACTATTAGTAGATGACTATCATAAAGAATTTCTACCAATGGTCTTTCATTGATGAAGTTGATCTATCAAACCATGATAACTTTGCACAGACCCATATAATTATTATGCTATATATTACAAATATTATTAATCTGGTGGTGGGAACGTGAAAAATCCTGACGTCAGTGGAAAGTTGGGTCTAATAGAACATCTTGTTCTTAATAGAGCCTATTAATGCACTAATTAATTACACAAATATTTTATTATTAAGTAAAAGATGAAAATAAATCATAGATCCAATGTCAAGCACAAAAAAATTCCCAATTTTTTAAATTTTTTCTCTGACTACTGACCAAAAACAGAATTAAAAGTGAATGAAGATCAAACAAAGAAAAGGAAATGTAGCATTAAGTTAATATTTGCAATATTAACAAAATATGTCTACATGACTCAACAAACATAATGGAAGCATTTTTTTACAGTACTGTTTCATATAATGTTTTATAATATGTTTTATGAAAGCATTTTTTTAATAATTATTTTGGCCTTTCCTATTTTTCTTAACCTCTTTGAGAAAGTGTTTTGTCGCCTACAAAAATTTAAAACAATTTGCATTTAACTCTAAAATATCAACTTTATTTATAAAATTAGACTGTAAATAAATAAATTACAAAAGGTTCAGGTTTAATTTCCTGTTTCTCAGGTCCAGCTTCTTCAATTTCTTGTTCAGAATCTCTACTGTGTGTACATTTTAGTTCAAATAATGTATCAGCAACTTCATTGTCACTTGATAAAAATCATTTTTCTCTAAAAGCTTATTTATTACTTCTATATCATTCAGATTTAATGCATTAAAATATCTCTTGAATGAGCCGGCCATGTTATAAAAAAGTCGTGTAAATGGGAACATTGTGTCTGATGGACACATCAACAACTTTAAGCGGAAATTTAAGTTTCCTATATTAGTCAGACCAAGAGAAAACTACAACAAAGGGTGAAAAAATACCATAATATTATATAAGGAACTAGATCTCATCTCAATTTAATTTCTCACCATCAGCTACATACATCTCATAATTTTTATTTTCAAAAACCCACAATCTTGAATAGGTAGCCTAGGAAACACTCCCTCATTTGTGAATCCCTCTAGAATTAAAATAAATGATATCATCAATACCAATTAAGTGTCAAATCTTTTCGCATCAACATATGACAATGTTTTAATTAAAATAAAACCATGAATTAAATATGCTTATAATGCTATTACTTATAATTAGTTTTTTTTAACATTTCAGTTCTTCTCATGTCTTTTTCTTCTTTTCTTCTCATACACTCTTGCATGTATTTTTTTTCATACATTCTTGCCCCCAGCTTTCCTACTTCATTCCCCAGCCACTCCTTGCCCTCTCCTTTCCCCCTCCTTTCCCTCTCATGTAACTTACTCCAGTCATTTCTCCATAGGCTTTCTGATTCTGGAGTACTCTAAGATGCATGTACCAGGAGGAAAACATTGAAGTGTTTCTCCTTCATTAATATGGGGTTAATTTTTATATGTTGATATTGACCATTAATTGGTCTATATATAATGAATTCTTGGTGTTTTTATTAATTAACGGGCCAATAGTCTTGTCTCTTGCCATTGGTCTTGTACCTTTATTGAACTTAGTGTCTTGTAAAATAATAATTAAAAAAAATTGTTTTAGGGTTTGTTTGTTTAACTTTAGGTTTTCTCATTTTATACAATTATTGGAACGTTCTCTATGCCAATTAAATGGTATTGTTTGTTTGTTTATTTATTGTTTTTTTGTAGTTGCAGTTATGTAATTTCATAGTGCAACCTGAAGATGTGAGAGGATTGTTTCATGAAATGTTATTTCAACAAGTATTAAAATGTCAAAAGAACGTAATTTTAAAGATTACTTTTTAATATATTGTGAATTGTTTTAATATTAATTCTGTATACATAATGAAAGGACACCCCAATATATAGCACGAAGAATATATTGACAATCATTCAAGAGAACATATCTAGTAATTAGTAAATAATAGCTCTGGATCATTAAATTTAAATTAATATATATGTATCATGGGCATTAACTGATTCCAACGACCTTGTCATCCGAGATTAATAGAACACTCACAGTGCATAAATAACTTATTTAATTAATATGGAACAATTAATAAATATTTATTTACAATTTTGATTAACTATAAAGAATTACTATGAGGAAAAAAGTTAACAATTTTTGAAAACTTCAATTTTAATTGTTTGCAGATATTTAAGACAAAAGCAAACATGAATCACTTATTAATGAGAAGCCTAATTACAGGCTTTTTGCAAACTTGATAATTATTTTGAAATTTTTCTCTTTTAAAATTTGATTTTAAACAGGCATCTTTGCTGTTGCTACATATGAAATTATAGAACATTGAAGTTTGTGTTCAATAATGAAAGGATTCACATTCATTACGTTAATGAGATTAATGCTCTTTCAAAAGAATGTTAGCCAAAAGAGTTACGTTTGAATAATGGTACTCAGCAGTCACACTCCCTGTACCTTTCCTATTGCTGAAATTGCTGTACCTGCTCAAAAACTTTATGAATCTAGACAACTTATCAGTGAAGAAAACAGTTATTTGGAAAAGGTTGTGGAGTATATTTCTTGTAAGTACCCAAATTAAGTATTCTTGTGATCTAATGAAAAAAGAAATAATACTGTAATGAAAATGAAAGCAGTAAAACATATTGAAATAAAATCATTAAGCAATCACAATGTAAGTAATTATTTTTAGTTCTTATTTTTGAATAAATGATTGCCTGAAAAATTAAATTAATGAAGTGTAGGTTCCTTTAAGGACAACCTGAAAACAATATGTCATTTTTAAATCACAATTTAAAAAAAAAAAGTGCTTATATCATTATTCTTATCTTACATTACACAAAGTTTCAATGTTTATCCTTCAAATTGATCTTGAGGTAAAATTATATTCTCACAAAAAACCTTTTAAAAATCTTTATGATGCTTTTTAAATAAGTGGTCTTCCCAAGTATTCCTAATTTTACTTTAAAGTTCATATAATGAACTTAATATAGAGTTTCTTAGAGCATCCACACTGCCCCATGACTATTTGTATCTGAATAATAAATTGAATTGTTATTATTTTAGATACAATTTTACAACAATTTATTATATATAATTTTATGAAAAATAGATAAGAGTACGCGAAGATGGATTGAAATGTTAAAATATGAAATATTGTGTGAAGTAAAATAAAAACTTTGGTTAAACCCTTTTATAAAATATTTATTGAATAACAATAGCGTGTTATCTGGTTGTCTTTAATTAAAGAAATCTAGGATTAATTAACCAATTACTTTGCAGATGTACTCGTAATTCTAACTATAATTTATCTAATGCTTTGCACTGCATTAAATATTTTCCAATCTTCCATAATCAGAATGAAACAGGTAGTTTATTGCAACTTCAAAAATAAAATTCTTATTTGTTTTGAGAGGATTTTTTGTTTGGTTTGTAATTCATAAATTCAAATAAAATTTAAAAATATAGCTAGATAAAATATGTTCTGAGAACTAAATATCATACATATTTAAGATGTATGAGATTGGCATTATCTCAATAAGATTTAAGTTTTCTCATGTCTAATGTTCCATTGAAAAACTAGTATGTACATTGTTTTCTTTGCTCTTGAGTTGTTTTGAACACTGTCTGCAAGTTGTGAACTATAGTACTGTTTTAAAATTAATATTTTTGTTATAAAATTATATAATAATGATAATTCAGAAGATAATTTGGCTGCAGAGTTTTCTTGACGTACCAAGTCACTTACAAATTTAGAAATAAAATTATAGAATTACACATTAAGGTTTTTGTTCTTGTTTAACATTGTTTTTTCTCAATGTTTCAAAGAGTCATCTTTTTCCCACATCTTAAAAAAAATAAAAATAAAAAAAAGAAGAAGAAGAAGAAACATGATATAATTATAAGAAAACAGTAGTACTGAATACAAAACCATACGTAAAGCTTCAACATTTTAAATAATAAAAGATAATCAATACAATAGTCAAAATTTTGATATATTGATTATACTAAAATAAATATAAATATCAGTCGGTGCAAAAGCACTGTCAGCATGGTGGTTGCATGAAGAGGATCAACCACTCACCACTGAATGGAACACAATGTCCTGAGATCGTTATGAGATACCATTAAATGAAAAGAGGAAAAAAAAGACTAATTCTCATGAGTTCCCAAAATGCACCAGAAGAAACTTTTATTTTTAAATCGCAACATCTTTTCTCTTAATTAAAAAGAATGGAAAGTAAAGAACTACGCTACTACAGAAAAACTTATTATTCTGGAAAGTTTGACAAGACAGTCATAGAGAGGCAAGCATGTATTTGATTCAACTATGTGTTGAGACAATTAGAGTATTTTACACATGGTGTTTAAGTGACTCAGTCTGCGAAGAAAAATCTGTGGCCAAATTATCCACCAATTTGAATAAATTGTGACACACTTTCACGTTTTTTATGAATAATTATAATTTTCTTTAACAATGTATAAGCAATCAATTTTTTGTAACATTACATTATTTTACAGTGATTCTTATATAAATTAAAAATTCTCACAATAACGTGCATTCATATTCTTCTATTTACATACATGCATTGGAAAAATATTTTCTATTTTGATTATGAGATTATACATATTACCAGCAAAAGGATTTATTTGGACTAAAAATATATGAAATATGTAGTTATTTTTATCAAAATATGAAGTTAATTACAGACTTAATATGATAAAAAGTGACCATGGTAAAATAATATTTTATTGTCAGTTGATAAACCTTCATCTTTAAATTCTGAAATATAATTTCTAATTTTACACTGGCTGACTGTGCTACTTATGGCATTTTACATTGTCTTAATAGAGAGATTAACATATCATCGTATTCTGACTGGATTGTAACTAGCAATGAGATACTGTGTAAGTTGAAATCTAATGTCCTGTGATGTCATGTGATTGCCAGGTGGCAGCCTCAGAGGGAAGGGAAGGGTTTAGTGTGGAGACTGTAATGAGGAGGGTTTCCCACAGATCACTGAGGCTTCAAGGTCATCTGTCAAACAAATCAAACAGTTCATTGCCTCCTCGGCCCTCCCCCTTCACCCTGCAGGACAACGAGGCCAGCCAGGGCCAGAGAGTAGATGTATTATTCAATAAATTAAAACATATAAATAAAAAAAAAAAATTAATTAAAAAAAAATAAATAAAAAAATAAAAAAAAATAAATAAAAAAATAAATAAAAAATAAAATAAAATAAAATAAAAAATAAAACAAATAAAAAAATCCTCTACTGTTTAAGAAATTACTTAATTTTAAGCTCTTATTGTTGAGATACATTTTTAATATTTAATGAGATTTCACTGTTAAGCTTAATATACTATATGGACTAATTTTAAAAGAAATCAGGATAATAAAAGGACTTTTATTCAAATATGTACCAAATCTCAATATATGGAAAATAAAAGTAGCAATCTTCAACTCTACCCATTGTGTAACAAAGATAATGCAAATTAGTAGCTTATTTATTAAATATGTATTTACATAGAAATCTGTTCCCTGCATATTACATTGTATTATATTGTACATTATCTTACATGTAACATATTACATTAGTACTCTGCAGCAGTGTAAATGCTGCTGCTGCTGCTGAACGTAAGGGAAATGAGGTTCTGAAGCAGAAGAAACTTCTAAATTTGCATGCATGAGTACTGAAGATTCTTCTTCCTCATCACATGTAAGCTGTGTCATAAGAAGTGATGCACTGAGTACCAGAATGTAGTCATAATATTAGGTATGAGAAATTGTTGATTAACATAATCAATATTTGCATTTTTCTGTCAAAAACAAAACATTTTCATTGATTTTGTACTTTTCCAGTCTATCTAGACATCCAACTAAACCATTGACATATCTGACATGGCCAGAGGCTGCTTAATTTATTATCAATTTATGTGTCTATTTGAAATTAGTATTATGGATATATTCACTAGTAAATTAACTTGTGAGAACATTTATCATTATAAATTTTATTATACTTTTATTATAATATAATTCTGAATAAAAATGTTAATTGGCATATTGATGTTCATTTCTATTTCTAAGAAACCCACTTCTTTTAGGACACAATTAATACATTCATTAGAGTTGTAACCTTGGTTTACCATATTCTATATTTATTTATTTTCATTAGGTTTACAGATCGTAAAACAAATTTACCACTTGCTTCTCTCTCTCTCTCTCTCTCTCTCTCTCTCTCTCTCTCTCTCTCTCAAGGTGATCCTGAAGAGAATTTCTGAGTCATAATACAATTGAAGGGTTTCTCAGAAAAAGAGCATTTGTGGAAAAATCCATTTTGTCGGAAATGAGAAAAAAATATTCACCTTCTTAACTCAGACAGATATTTGGATTTTTATATTGTACAGGAATATGTTTACACAGTATGAAACAAAATGCAGTTGTAATTAATTAAACATTATGTTTAACAAGTTACACAAAAAAGAAAAATGGTCAGATGTTATTTTTACTTGAAAATTGCAGATTATATGAATATAATATTTGCTATTATGCATATATCAGCACAATAAGGTACCAAAAAATTGGAAAAATTAAATTACATGTATTTTACATGATACAGTGTTATTCCTGCATACAATAATAACAATTGAACCTCAAAGAAATACTTAACCCAAGTATTTTTAATATAGTCTAGATTAACTATAAACTGCAATTGATGCATTTAACCCAATGATGGCCAAGGTATGAAACTTCATACCAACAGCAAGATTAAAAAAAAAATCCAATATAAGAACAATAAAATAACTTCCAAGTATACCATTGTTGTTGTGTAGAAGATCGTTTATAAGGTTGGTGAGAGTAGTTAGAGACTGTTCTGAGGTTATTTGACTTAGTGAGAAATATTGTAATTTATCGCTCATACAAGAAGAAGGCAGAGTGACTAATAATTAAGTACCTAGAGAACTTTTCTCTAAGAACTTATTGTATTGTAAATAATTTTAAATTTATACTATAAAATTTCAAAATTCAATTTTACAGCCTGATGATCGAGACAATAATCCTCAAAACTCTTGCATGAATATAGAATATATGAAGATTACAGGAAATAGTCTGTCAAAAAATGTGCACCCTAACCCTTCACAAAATCATAATTAATCAGACTAAAAAATGTGGAAATAAGAACTTTTCATTTTTTTTTAAATTTTTATTTCTGAAATATGATGTAAGAGTTATTTTGTTTATCAAAACCTGTATTCTAACAACACACCCTCTTGAGCAACCAGAGATTAAATTCCTTACTATTTTCCATCTAAGGAACTCCTATCAAATACTAAGAAACTTATCAACTGCAAAGTGCTAAACAATCAACACCACAACTTATCAAAACTGCCAACTTCTCTTTAAAATATCTGATAGCAATTTCCCATTCCAATGTCAGACAGAAACTTGTCTCTTAAATTTTCAAATCTATTTTTGATCTCTACTCTCTTATCTTCATAGACTTGTACAATAGACCTATTAACTGCCAACTACTGTGGATCACGCCCTAATG